AGTGGAAAACTACACACATATTCTCAACATGTTTCAAATCAGAGCATTTTCACTTGATGTTCACATGTTCTTCCTCATGTCATGGAACTGTGTCACTCTTTTCTTTATCATCATGTCAAACTCGGATTGTCTTCTATCATTTCAATCAACACCAATCACACTGTGTTTGTTCTGGGTTTCCTCTGTGTACATTTGCACTGTGTTTTTGTTCACTTTTAAAGTCTCACTGTGGAACTTTTGTGCTGGAGGTTTTGTCTGGAATGTTCCACAGTATGGCATTAACCTGATCTATATTGTGTTTATTCAATGACAGATGTTTTATTGCTCAAAATCCATCATAGTTCTGATGTGTAACTTGAATCATAATTGTAAAAGTTGTTTGTGGTCACATCATGGGGAACACTGGTTCTACAATGGTGAAGGTTTTACACTCTTTAAATCAACAATAAATTCATAAATCACTTTGTTTTCCTGTGGCCTTTTCTGTCCCAAAATCTCAAATCCAGTGTAAAGTAGTAAAATATAGTGTGTGTTCACCTGACATCACAACACACTATAGGATCCTTCTAGTTGAACAGTGAGCTGGAGGACAGGTCACAATTCACTGGTGGAATGTGCTGTTTCACTGTCACACTGCATATTCTGCTGAATATCTCTGTCATTACTGGGCCTATCCACATGAAACACAAACAGGTTTGGCTCCTGCTCTGGACAAATCAACAAGGGTGTGTCATTATTCAAACACAAACACGTGCTTGTCGTCAGCTCCAACAACTTGAAGCCATAAGATCAAATATGACAAGTGTGTGGAGGCCATCCATATTTAAAGCTCCGTGTGTGGAAGCAGAGACACACTAGAGACACAATACAAGCTTTATGTGACAATTGTCTATGTGTCTTTATCATGTTCTGCCTGTTCATGTTCTCAAAACAAGGATTTATTTACAAAAGGAAGATTCACTGAGAAGAATCTTGATGTGAAAGAAGGTAAGAGGTTGTGAGTGTGGAGTTATCAGTAGTGTAGTGTGTGTGTGTGTGTGTGTGTGTGTGTGTGTGTGTGTGTGTGTGTGTGTGTGTGTGTGTGTGTTGTGAGTGTGTAAAACTACAAGACAAACTCAAACGTGCAGAGTCCAAAGGAGCTTGGAGACGCCCAGCAGCAGAGAGGCAGGGTGAGAGTGCGCACGCCCAGTGGGAGAGAGCTCATCCACTTCCTGTTTTAGGGCCCATGTGACCAGGAGGCGGAGCAACAGGCAGAGAGACAGCAGTGTGTGAGGGAGCAGATCTACACAGACAGAGACACACTCCCTCCAGAGAGACACACGAGCCTCCAACTCCAACTCCAGGACTTGTTCAGAACAACAGTCAGAATAAAATCTCTGTTTTATTGTAGAAAAATACAATAAGTGGAGTTGATGAAAAAGAGGTTAATTTACAGACATGAGCATTTGCACAGGACTAGAATCACCGTCACTTTGAGTTTGCAGACATACAGGACGTCAAATTCTGTGGAATTTTACAGATATTTTTACACAAATGGGTGATTACTAGAAACACAGATGACGTCTGTAATTATAACAATTTACCAGTGGACCTTAAAACTAATCAATAATTAGATCTACAGGAAGCAACAGACTAGAGGTGTTGATAATAAAATGTATTGATCACTTTTACTCCTAATTTTACAGAAATAAAACAGTTTAAAATTAAAATAGTACAATTGTGTTATCATCTTGTGAATGTTTGAATCACTGTATTAGTAAATTAATATTTGTCTAATTCTTAAAACATAATTGGGTTGAAGTATTTAAAATGGAAAATCTGTCTTATATTAGCAAATACTTGTTTCAACCATCTTCTAAATATTTCTTGATTTCAAAGATGGTTAGAACAAGTATCTGCCAGTCTAAGAGGCATTCCACCTTAAATATTCAAACCCAATCAGTTGGGTTAAAATTACCCAATGTTGAGTGGAAAATATAATTCGACATATAAATATATTCATTACCTGCCATAAAATATAAATAAATAAATAATACATAAATAAAATGACATGTGTAGTGTGTGTAGAGACTTGTCCATGTGTTTGTGTCCAGTTGGTTCGACTAGTGGAACGTCCTGCTCACTGGTCTCTCCAAACCAGCTGGAAGACCACTGCACTACATCCACAACACTGCAGCTCAGGTCCTGACTCGAGCCAGGAAGTACGAGCACATGCATCCTGGTCTCAGGTCTGTGCTCTGGCTCCTGTGGCTCACAGAATCCACTTGAAAGACTTTAAAGTGTCTCTGTTTGTGTCCAAGTGTCTCCATGACCGAACCCCAAACTCCATCTGTGACAAGTTAGAGCCACATGAACCATCTGACCAGGACTAAACCAGGACTAAACCAGGACTAAACCAGGACTAAACCAGGACCAAACCAGGACAAAACTAAAATGAAACCAGGACTAAACTTGGACTAAAGCAGAACTAAACCGGGAGTGAACCAGGAATAAAACTGTGAATAAACCAAGAATAAACTCAGACTAAACCAGGACTAAACCAGGACTAAACCAGGACTAAATCAGGACTAAACATGTTGAGTTTCAGTTTTCTGGAGCTTAAACCTGGAACAGTTTTCTGAACATGTGACACAGGCCTCTACTTTGACTCTGTTTAAATCCAGACTCAAAACGGTTCTGTTGAGCTGTGCATGTGACTGAAAGACTTTTATTCTGCACTTTTATCTTTTAATGTGAATTTGATGATGATTATTTATGTTTTGATTTGTTTGTTTTGTGATTTGAATGTCTCTTATTCTGTAAATCATTTTGAATTCATTTGTGTAAGAATTGTGCTGTACAAATAAACACACTTTGCCTGTCACAACCACACACTATGAGAAAACATGACAAAGACATGTGGGCCCCGTCTCCCTGATTTAAGTTGGACATGATTGACAGGTGGATCAGCCAATCAGAGACACACGTGGTCTGTTGGGGTCAAAATAAACATGGCGGCTTTTGCGTTTAAAAGAGGGAAAAAATAACACAGAGGAATCAACAAACGAATGACTAAACTGTTCTTTATGTCTGTGTTCCAGGTCTCAGGTTCGGCCTGGTGCAGAATCGTCTTTTCGTAGATTCAAGCGGCGGCTGTTGGCGTCTGCGGCTCCTGTGAACACTAACGCCCAGAGCAGGTTAAACACAGACTGTGGAAGCTCTGTAAACCTTCAAACACACTGATAATAACAGAAAATATATTTGTGTCACCTCTTTGATACCTTCATTGAGCCTTTGGTGTGGACGCTGAACTAAAATAACTCAAGCTTGGGAGAATGCAGCAACAACAGGCTGACTCGGACTTTCTTTCCTCTGCATTTTTATCCACGTGCTCTGAGGATGAGAGTCTTTTTACAGGCCTCACTGCTGTTTTAATCTGTGCTCTGTGGTAGAAAAAGACAAAGAAGAAAAGTAAACATGTTTAAATCAGCACTACTTAGACCATGATACATTTAACTAATACTTTAGTCCTTAAAACCACATGGATTCTGGTTGATTTTCTTTAAAAATGTGAGAATTAAGAATGTTAGAGGAATTATTTTTGCTCTTGTATTGTAACAAAACTTCTCATTTTGTGGTATTGGACTGGTATCGTATCGAGAAGTACACCAAGAGCAAGTATCGCAGTGGATCGGATCCTAAAAACATGATACTGAAACAAGACTACTTTACTTAAATCAACAATAAATTCATAAATCAGTTTGTTTTCATGTGGCCTTTTCTGTCCCAAAATGTCAAATCCAAATGTGATGTGGATTGTGTGTTTCACTGTC